GATGCTGAATATATCCTGCCAGCCCTTTCTGGCCTTCCAGGTCTCTGTGGAGAGGTCTGCTGTTGCCCTAATACTCCTCCCCATAAAAGTCAGGGATTTCTTGTCTCTTGCTGCTTTAAGGATCTTCTCTTTATCTTTGGAATTTGCAAGCTTCACTATTAAATGTCGAGGTGTTGAACGGTTTTTATTGATTTTAGGGGGGGATCTCTCTATTTCCTGCATCTGAATGCCTTTTTCCCTTCCCAGATTAGGAAAGTTTTCAGCTATGATTTATTCAAATACATATTCTGGCCCTCTGGTCCTTTCGGCACCCTTGGGGACCCCAATTAAACGTAGGTTTTTCTCCCTAGGCTGTCACTTATTTCCCTAAATCTATCTTCATGGTCTTTTAATTGTTTGTCTCTTATTTCCTCAGTTTCCCTCTTTGCCATCCACTTGTCCTCTATTCAGTCCCTCGTTCTTCCACCTCGTTAACCCTCGTATTAGTACTTCTAGGTTGGATTGCATCTCATTCAATTGATTTTTAATTTCTGCCTGATTGGATCTACATTCTGCAGTCATGAAGTCTCTTGAGTCCTTTATGCTTTTTTCTAGAGCCACCAGTAGCTGTATAATAGTGCTTCTGAATTGGCTTTCTGACATTGAATTGTAATCCAGATTTTCTAACTCTGTGGGAGAGAGAGGACTGTTTCTGATTCTTACTTTTGAGGTGAGGTTTTCCTTCTAGTCATTTTGCTCAGTGCAGAGTGGCCAAAAACAAGTTGTATTGGGAAAAGGAGAAAAAGAGAGGAGGGAAAGAAGGAAAGAAAAGAGAAAAAGAAAAAGGAAAAAAAGGGTGGGGGTAGCAAACAAATCAAAAAAACAAAAAAAGAAAAAAAAAACATGGGAGAGTATCTTCTGATTCTGTATACTTAAGTCCCTTGACTTCCCCTGGAACTTGTCTGTCTTGTTGGTCTTCTGGGGGAGTGGCCTGCTGTGCTGATTTTCAGGTGTTAGCACTTGGGGGAGCTGCTCTGCCCCCTGCCTGGTGCAGGGCTCAGTGGGGGTTGTTTACCCCCTGAGGTCCCAGGAGGAACATCCCCAGTGGCGCTGGCCAGCTCTGGAGCCCTGGATTCAGGTCCTGCAGTAACTATCGAGCTCTTAGTCTGTAGGGCCTGGAGGCTCTGGGGGCGGGGCCGCTGATCTGCTCAGCTCAGGCAGGAGCTTCCTGGGCCCTCCCGGCCTCTGCCTGTCCTGGGGGGAGGCCGGAACCTGGGCTTTCTCGGCGCCCAGTGCTCTGGGGCCTGTGCTGTTGGATTCACGCTCTAGGTGGCACAGCCCCCTCCACGGGGCCGCCGCCGGAGGGCCTCTGAGCTGCTCCCGGAGTGGCGCAGCCCCCTCTGCACGGAGCCTCTTCCTCTGCCAGAGCCGCCAGTGAACTGCTCCCGGGCCACGAAGCCCCCTCTCCGCAGAGCTGCTGCCCGATCCCTCCGAGCTGCTCCTGGGTCCAGCCATGCCCGCGCTGTAGCCCTTTAGGGAGCTCCGTGCACTCTCCCCAGGGCGCAGTTGTTCTGTTACTGTCCTAGGGAGCCTGATGGCATCCCCGCCCTCCTCGGGTCCTGCTCCAAATCCCTGCAAGGCCTTTCGGCCCGGGAAGATTGGTGAAGCTCCTGCTCCTCCGGGACAGCTCTCCTGTCCTGGGGACACTCGCCCCAGACTTAGCCCGGCTCCTTGCGGGGCCCCATCCCCTTTGGATGCCTTTTGTTTATTTCTTTTTTCCCCATCTTCCTACCTTGATAGAAGTGGACTGTAGCATTCCAGCTGTTCTCTCTTTAAATCTCAGGCCGAATTCATAGATTTTCAGGATAATTTGAAGGTTATCTAGGTAATTTGGTGAGGACCGGTGATTTGGAGTCCCTACTCTTCCACCTTCTTGCGCCTCCTCCAGAAGCTGTTTTTATACAAAGGAGATACAGAGGCAAAAAAGGTACATATCAACTTTTTTTCTACAACATAGTTGAAATTTTAGGTATATATATATATATATACATATATATGTATGTATATATATATAGCTTCAAAAGGTTTTATTCTATATATATGTATGTATATATGAATAGATGGACACTGACTTTTATACATCAGGTCCTGTCATCATGGAAACAACTCCAAAACCAAGGAAAGAGAAAAGTAATGCATATAGAAAGGCTACATTCTGTCTGCTAGATGCCCTTCCACACCAGAAAGAAAATCTTCCATTTCCTGCCTGGGAGTAGATGGTGCGCTCAGGGCCCACAAAGGATTGAGGCCTAGAGGGGAGTGTGGATGAGGATGGCCAAATGCTGTGCAGGCAGGGGCTTAGGAAGTGGATGCTTCCGGGGATGAGTAGGAGACCGTGACCAGAGGAGTGTAGTAGCTTGGGTGAGTGTAAAAGGGAGGTGAAACTTGTGTCATGTTTCCTTTGAATTCCCAGAATTTACACTCTGCTTTTTGGTGTAGTCCTGACAGGGTGTACAATGGAAAGAACAGGCATGTATGACGATTCTGCCCTGACACGGTGCTGATCCAAATGTTATGGGCAACAAGGGCCACACCTCTCTACATTATGCGTCCTTTGAGGGGAATGTCTCAATAGAGAAGTGTTTTTTACACAAAGGAAATACAGATGCAAAAAAACAAGGTACATATCTACTTTTGTTTACGAAGGAGTTGACATTATAAATATATATATAGCGGCAAAAGGTTTTATTCTACACACACACACACACATATATGAAAATATCAACACTGAGTTTTATACATCAGGAATTGTCATCATGGAAACAACTTCAAAACCAAGGCAGGGGGAGGGAAAGAGAAAAGTAATGCATATAGAAGGGCAACATTCTGTCCGCTGGCCACCCTTCCACCCCAGAGACAAAATCTTCCCATTCATGCCTGGCAGTACACGGTTTGTTCAGGGCCCCCAAAGGATTGAAGGCCTAGCAGGAAGTGTGGATGATGATGGCCGAATGCTGTGTAGGGGTTTAGGAAATGGATGCTTCTGGGGATGAGTAGGAGACCGTGACCCAGAGGAGTTAGAGTAGCTTGGGTGAGTGTAAATGGGAGGAGATAGCATCAGGTTGTAATAGGCCGTGGGCGCTCTAGGCCCTAAGGTTCAGAAGATGAGAGCAAGGGGATCAGGTCATGACATCCTACAGGGGGTATGTACTTCTGCTGGTAGCCACTCTGCCAGCCACGTACCAAGGTGAGGTCTCCCATTCTGCAGAGTAGCTCCTGCTCAGCCTGTGTAGTTCCTATTATTACTATTGTTTCGTAACCTCTATAAACAACAGGGGCTTGGACCCCTGGCCCTCGAGATCGAGTCACATGCTCTTCAGAGTGAGCCAGACAGGCAACCCGAGAATAACTATTTTTATGCCCATTTCTATGGATGAGGAAATTGCGATAAGGCTAAGTGGTCACTGTGAAGTGACAGAGTTCAACCCAGGTAGAGTTGCCTCCTGAGGTCCTGCTCTTCCTAAACACACAGGCTTCTCTTTTAATAGAGTGGTGAATAATCACTCATAAATATTGTACTTCCAGGGCTTAGGAAATGGATGCTTCTGGGGATGAGTAGGAGACTGTGACCCAAAGGAGTAGAGTAGCTTGTCTGAGTGTAAAAGGGAGGTGAAACTTGTGGCACGTTTCCTTTAAATTCCCAAATTTATATTGTGCTTCTTGGTGTAGTGCTGACAGGCTGCACAATGCTGCACTGACACGGTGCTGAGATGAGTCTTCAGGACGTAAAGGGCAACACCGCTCACCGTTATGCAGCCTTTGAGGAGAATGTGTCACTGGAGAATCTGTTTTTATTATACAAAGGACATACAGAGGCCAAAAACAAGGTACATATCAACTTTTTTTTTTCCAAGTAGTTGTCAGGTCCTGTCATCATGGAAACAACTCCAAAACCAAGGCAGGGGTAGGGAAAGAGAATAGTATTGCATATAGAAAGGCAACATTCTGTCCGCTAGCCGCCCTTCCACCCCAGAAAGAAAATCTTCCCATTCGTGCCCGGCACTACACGGTGCGTTCAGGGCCCACAAAGGATTAAAGGCCTGTGGGGGAGTGTGGTGATGATGATGGCCGAATGCTGTGCAGGCAGGGGCTTAGGAAGTGGATGCTTCCGGGGATGAGTAGGAGACCGTGACCCAGAGCAGTAGAGTAGCTTGGGTGAGTGTAAAAGGAGGTGAAACTTGTGTCATGTTTCCTTTAAATACCCAGAATGCACTTGTGCTTCTTGGTATAGTCCTGACAGGGTGTACAATGGAAAGAACAGGCATGTGCGACGATTCTGCCCTGACATGGTGCTGATCCAAATGTTATGGACAACAAGGGCCATACCGCTCTACATTATGCGTACTTTGAGGAGAATGTCTCAATAGAGAAGCTGTTTTTTACACAAAGCAAATACAGATGCAAAAAACGAGGTACGTATCAACTTTTTCTTTATAAAGGAGTTGACATTATAAATATATATATAGCGGCAAAAAGGTTTTATTCTATATATATATATATATATATATACACATATATTTGAAAATATCGACACCGAGTTTTATACATCCGGTATTGTCATCATGGAACAACTCCACAACCAAGGCAGGGGGAGGGAAAGAGAAAAGTAATGCATATAGAAAGGCAACATTCTGTCCGCTAGCCGCCCTTCCACCAGGAAGGAAAATCTTCCCATTCATGCCTGGCAGTACAGGGTGCATTCAGGGCCCACGAAGGATTGAAGGCCTAGAGGGGAGTGTGGTGATGCTGATGGCCGATTGCTGTGCAGGCAGGGGCTTAGGAAGTGGATGCTTCCGGGGATGAGTAGGAGACCGTTACCCAGAGGAGTAGAGTAGCTTGGGTGATTGTAAATGGAGGTGAAACTTGTGTCATGTTTCCTTTGAATTCCCAGAATTTACACTCTGCTTCTTGGTGTAGTCCTGACGGTGTACAATGGAAAGAACAGGCATGTGTGACGATTCTGCCCTGACACGGTGCTGATCCAAATGTTATGTACAAGAAGGGCCACACCGCTCTACATTATGCGTCCTTTGGGGAGAGTGTCTCAATAGAGAAGCTGTTTTTTACACAAAGCAAATACAGACGCAAAGAACATGGTACGTATCAACTTTTTGTTTAAAAAGGAGTTGACATTATAAATATATATATGTAGCGTCAAAGGGTTTATTCTATATATACGTGTGTGTGTGTATATATATACATATATATATACACACACACACACGTATATATGAAAATATCGACACTGAGTTTTATACATCAGGTATTGTCATCCTGGAACAACTCCAAAATCAAGGCAGGGGGAGGGAAAGAAAAATGTAATGCATATAGACAGGCAACATTCTGTGTGCTAGCCACCCTACCACCCCAGAAAGAAAATCTTCCCATTCATGCTTGGAAGTAGATGGTGCGCTTAGGTCCCAAAAAGGGCTTAGGGAGTGGATGCTTCCGGGGATGAGTAGGAGACCGTGACCCACAGGAGTAGAGTAGCTTGGGTGAGTGTAAAAGGGAGGAGAAACTTGTGGCATGTTTCGTTTCAATTCCCAGAATTTGCATTCTGTTTGTTGGTGTAGTGCAGATTGGCTGTACAATGGAAAGAACAGACCTGTGCGACTCTTCTGCCCCAACACGGTGCTGAGAAATGTCTTAAGGACCTCAAGGGCAACACCTCTCACCATTATGCGACCTTTGAGGACAATGTGTCAATAGAGAAGCTGTTTTTATACAACGGAAATACAGAGCCCAAAAACAAGGTACATATCACCTTTTTTTTTTTTTTTGCAAGTAGTTGAGATTATAAATTATATATATTTATATATATATTTATATATATTCAAAAGGTTTTATTATATATATATTTATGAACACATCGACACCGAATTTTATACATCAGGTCCTGGTCATCATGGAACAACTCCAAAACCAAGGCAGGGGTAGGGAAAGAGAAAAGTAATGCATATAGAAAGGCAACATTCTGTCCACTAGCCGCCCTTCCAACCCCAGAAAGAATATCTTTCCATTCGTGCCTGGCAGTACAGGGTGCATTCAGGGCCCACAAAGGATTGAAGGCCTAGAGGGGAGTGTGGTGATGATGATGGCCGAATGCTGTGCAGGGGCTTAGGAAATGGATGCTTCCGGGGATGAGTAGGAGACCGTGACCCAGTGGAGTAAAGTAGCTTGGGTGAGTGTAAAAGGGAGGAGAAACTTGTGGCATGTTTCGTTTAAATTCCCAGAATTTGCATTCTGTTTCTTGGTGTAGTGCTGACAGGCTATACAACGGACAGAACAGACCTGTGCAACATCTCTGCCCCGACACAGTGCTGAGAAAAGTCTTAAGGACCTCAAGGGCAACACCTCTCACCATTATGTGGCCTTTGAGGAGAATGTGTCAATAGAGAAGCTGTTTTTATACAAAGGAGATACAGAGCCCAAAAACAAGGTACATATCAACTTTTTTTTTTTTTGCAAGTAGTTGAGATTATAAATTATATATATATATATAGATAGATACAGAAGGTTTTATTCTATATATGTATATATGTGTATTTATGAACACATTGACACCGAATTTTATATATTAGGTCCTGTCATCATGGAAACAACTCCAAAACCAAGGCAGGGGGAGGGAAAGAGAAAAGTAATGCATATAGAAGGGCAACATTCTGTCCGCTAGCCACCCTTCCACCCGAGACAAAATCTTCCCATTCATGCCTGGCAGTACACGGTTTGTTCAGGGCCCCCAAAGGATTGAAGGCCTAGCGGGAAGTGTGGATGATGATGGCCGAATGCTGTGCAGGGGTTTAGGAAATGGATGCTTCTGGGGATGAGTAGGAGACCGTGACCCAGAGGAGTTAGAGTAGCTTGGGTGAGTGTAAATGGGAGGAGATAGCATCAGGTTGTAATAGGCCGTGGGCGCTCTAGGCCCTAAGGTTCAGAAGATGAGAGCAAGGGGATCAGGTCATGACATCCTACAGGGGGTATGTACTTCTGCTGGTAGCCACTCTGCCAGCCACGTACCAAGGTGAGGTCTCCCATTCTGCAGAGTAGCTCCTGCTCAGCCTGTGTAGTTCCTATTATTACTATTGTTTCGTAACCTCTATAAACAACAGGGGCTTGGACCCCTGGCCCTCGAGATCGAGTCACATGCTCTTCAGAGTGAGCCAGACAGGCGACCCGAGAATAACTATTTTTATGCCCATATTTGTGGATGAAAAACAGAATAATACTATCCGAGAAAGAAAAACAACATCAACTCTGGTTGATAGAAGCTGTTTTCCATGAGGTGTAGATTAACGATTCTGATATCGCTTCACGTGTACGCTGGAATTGAATGAGTAAATGGATGGTGACAGCCAGGCTTCTTACTGTTGGGACTGGGAACTGACAAGCAAGGGAAGGAGGCTTAAACGATCCATTTGTTAATGACTTAAGAGTCAGTGACATCAGTAAGAATTCATTTTTAGCTCACTATAGTTACAGCTGATTGCACAAAAAGTGTTGACAATGTGTATTATCTACATGGGTTAGTGTATATATATATATATGTATTTCTTTGTCAGATGAGAGGACATACAATAAACAACACTCTGGTAGCAATGTACAGACCATCACCCAGATCCTGGGATCGAATCTCACTGCCCAGTAAAAAGCATGAGGGCGGGCAGCCCAGGTGGCTCAGCGGTTTAGCGCTGCCTTTAGTCCAGGGCATGATCCTGGGGACCTGGGATTGAGTCCCACGTCGGGCTCCCTGCATGGAGCCTGCTTCTCCCTCTCCCTGTGTCTTTGCCTCTCTGTGTGTCTCTCATGGATAAATAAATAAAATCTTAAAAGAAGCAAACAAACAAATAAAGGAATGAGGGCTCCCTGGAGAAACGGTTGATTCCCAGGAATGGAGCAGTGTAAAATGAGCCTGGGGCACCTGGCAGTACCAAAGTAAGAAACTGTTAAAATGAAACGAGCAAGCCCACATAGATGGGACCCAACTGAAATAGCTCCTGACAGCCAAAACTGGAACAATGTGAACAACAAAATTAATTTAGTACTGGAGTAGAGTGCCAAATACCAATAAATGTTCACCAGTCCATGCTGATATGAAGAAATGACTGAATAAAATAGGAAAAAGAAAATATTCCAAATTTATTACAGAGGTACTTTAACTTCTAAAGGAGGACGAGCCTAACACACTACTCTAGTGTGGGCTGCACATGGAGACCTCCTTCCAAACAATACAGTATGCAAAGAAGGGAAAAGAGAACAACTATACAGTGGAGAAACCTGACAGAGACTATTTCACCATGGGGACTAATAACAGTCACAAATCAAGTTGATAGTATGTACCCTTGATATGATAAAAATGGTACTTTAGGTAGACAAATGCCAATAGAGGGGAATTCTACAACACACCTGACTAGTATGACTAAAAACGGTCAAGGTCACCAAAGACAAAGTCTGAGAAACCTTCACAGCTGAGAGGAGCCTAATGAGACAATGACAACTAAATGTAAGAGGAGATCCTGGAGTAAAAAAAAAAAAAAAGAAAGAAAGAAAAGATATTAGATTAGCGGAAAACTAAGAAAATCTGAATGAAGTATAGATTATAGTTAATAACAGTGTATCAATCAATATCAATTCACTAACTGAAATGAATGTACCAATCTAAGGGAAGATGTTAGTGATCAGGGAAACAAGGTATAAGGCATACTGGAACTCTGTATTATCTTCATAATCTTTCCATAGATCTGAAATTGCTCCAAAAAATAAGGTCCATTAAAATTATTATTTTTTAAAAAGCCAAGAAAGAAAACCCAAAACATATGTAATACTGGTGTACAAGAAAGAGGATATTACAAATTTATGTCTAAAGGATAAACTACTGGGTAGTTGTAGACTATCCTACTGAGTCTACTACTCAGTAGATTGAGTAGTCTATCCTTTAGTGATCTGGGGACTACTGGCTGTTCACATGGGAAATAAAATTGAATTACAGTTTCACTCCACATATAAATGACAGTTGGACTAAAATTCAAGTATGTGAAAACAGTTTACACTATCAGAAGAAAATCTTAGGGAATAGCTTCATGATCTTGCAGTAGGTAGGAAAGCATAAGAAAAAAAGCATTAACCCTACAGAAAACATTGATTTGTCCACATAAAAGTTACCAACTTCAATAAAAGAAATACCATTTAAGAAAAAAAAGAGGACAAATGGGTGGCCAGAAAAAAATGGTGTTTCAATCTAAAATGCCCCATCATATACAAAACACAAAGAAATTGTGTAAAAAAACATAAGAAAATGCTAATCAATAGAAAAATGGGAAAGGAGATGAATTGAAAAATCATGGAACAAATGGCCATCAAACAAGTGGAAATAGGCTCAATAGGGGTAGTAATGCACATTTAACACTTAAGACGCCATGTTTTACCCCTCAGATAAAAATTATAAAGGCTTATAATACCGAAGCTCAGAAGAATTACAAGAGAAAGATCTTTAGTGCACTGTCTATGGTCATCAAGTGCTTTAAACCCTCTGGAGGACAATTTGATAACATCCATATAATATTTACATCTTTTCTTCCAAAATATTACAAAAAGGGCAAAGCTGAGGCTTTCATCAACAGAATTATGATACTATAGTTCATTGAGCTGTGAAATGATGGAAGAGTATGCCTTAGTTTAGAAGAATGACATAGAGATACAGATCTATGTATAGAAAGGTTATCTAGACACACACACCCCATGGAAATACAGCTCTGACACATTACTTGGTTTAGAAAGAAAGTTATAGAACAATCCACAGAGTAGGACAGAATATGATTAAAAAGGAACAAAAAGACATAGATTTCTGTATGTCCATCCCTATATATTTATTTATATCCATCTAGAAGTGCTCGATGCATTAAACAATATGTTTATGCACATCCCTATATAAGTGTTTAATGCACAGAACATTCTTGAAGGATACTTGTCAAACGGTGAAAGAAATGAGATTGGGGGCAAGGGCAAAACGGGTAAAGAATTCTTTTCCTTTTTTATCTATGCATCTTTGACAATGTATTACTTGTGTAATTAAACTTTTTTTTTTTTCTCCTTAGTGAAATAAGTAGAAAGGGGAAGAGGGAGAAATGGTATGTTTCACCTGGAAAGTATTTGAAAGCATTTTTGCTCCTGAGCACTATGTGTGTTGGAGTGGCCGCTCTCCTGCTGCATGAGGAGCATGCTCTCTCGCTCTGTACTCCGGAGACGACAGTGCCAAGCAACACTACCTGGGGTAGGAGAATGACCCCTGACCCGTAAACTGCAGCTTGTCTGCAAGGAGCTACAGGGAACCATAAGCATCTCGTGTGCACCATGCTTTTGGAGCTTCCCTGAATGTAGTGACTCTTGGAACAGGACTCAACCCTGGTTGGGACACACAGGTCAAAAATATCACCAAGCCAGGTGTGAGTCACACAGGCACTTTAGATTTGCACCAAGTGAGCCAGCTATGTGTGGAAAGTCCTTTTCAAATCTGAGTAGCCTCAACTGTTTCCATGATGACCCTTCCACTGCCCCAGAAACTAGAAGTACTCCATTCTAATCATTCCTCGAGATAGATGTAGGCAACAATATTTTGCACTCCATTAAACTGGGGCAAATAGCATAAAACTTACTCATTATACAACTGTAGTAAGTTTATGGCTCAAATAAATTTTATCCATAATTTCCCAAACCACTATAGAAAGTTGAATCATTTATTTTATATACTAGAACACAATGTGGGACTATATAAAACCTAAAACGAAGAAAATATTTTTTTTTTTTTCTGAAGGACTGGCTTCCATGGTAATGTCTTGAGGAAAAAAATAAGATTTCTATGTATTTGAAAATCAAAATCACTTCTTACAGAAAACTAATCCTCAGTGGAAACAATGGAAAAAAATCATAATTGATGGATAAAGATGAGACAAAACCTGCCAAAGATAAGTTATAGATATGCTTGAAAGAGCAAAGAATGAGATTTCCAAATTTGTCATTCAGCTTTGTTAAAATCATGGTGCTAGTCCCTGCCCACACCGAAGACTGCTATCTCAGCTGCTTACAGATGGCACTGGGGAAGCCAGATTCAGGACAGTCAATGCAACACACTGAATGTTATTTTTAGTCACACACTAAGCTACTTCTTTTGAGGGGCCTTAAAAATACAAGGCATAGCTCCTCAAGCCCGCTCACATTCTGTATTAAAAGTTTCTCAAAGGGTCCATGAATTTACATTTTTAAAAAGTACTGGTTCTCAGGCCTGTAAGTACAGAAAGCAAACTGATGGTTGCCAGAAGGGAGGTGGGTGGGGGGCATGGGCAGAATGGGTGAAGGGGCATGGGAGACACAGGCTCCTAGTTATGTGATGAATAATTCACGGGAGTCAAAGGCACAGCCTGAGGAATCTAGGCAATGAGGGCACCTGGGTGGCTCAGCAGTTGAGCATCTGCCTTCAGTGCAGGTCACGATCCTGGGGTCCTGGCATCAAGCCCTGCATCTGTTGTGCCCAAGATTGCGAATCTGAGAAACCACCAAGGAGCCGACACCGATGCAAACACACGAGGGTTTATTTACAAGCTCAAGCTTGGGTCCAAGTGTACCCGACACAGCAGAGCAGGGACTTGGACCCCGAGACTAAGAGGCGTAGCAGCATTATAGGGGCCAGTGGCCAATGGGATACACAGAAAGTTGCAGTCATGTCGGTCCACATGCAGGTGGCCAATTGAATTACACCTTACCCTATAGTATCCATTTGAGCTTGCCTATTACTTTGGTCAGAATTGGCGCCCAGAATTGCACAAAGCAGTGTTACATTGTTATGAGCCTATTTCCGATTAGGGTGTGCCCAGCGGCTTGACTAGGGTGGGGCGGTGCCTTAAGCAATAAGTAGGTCATGTGGGGGTGATACAGGAGGTGGCAGGTGTAGCACAAAATGGAGTTAGTCCTGCTCTGCTTGTCCAGGGGTAGGGGATTTTTGTTAACTTTCCTGGGTCCCACAATTTCTTCCTTGCAGTATAAGACTTTGTTTTTCACTTTCAGCTTGAAGATTTCTTGCAATAACCTGAACCTGGTCTTGGAGATCAATTCTAGTCTTTCTTTACACTGCACTCTGCTGTAGGCATCATCTAGTTGCTCTCAGAGCCACATATTTTCACTTCGTAGTTGAGATAATCTCTCTTCTATGGATTTCTGCTTTCCAATGTATTTATTCACTTGTTCATTTTGATATTTCTGTTCAATTTCCTTTTTCTGGCACTGTGTTTGTTTTAGGTTTCTTTGTACATGTTCTAAAGCCCAAGTATTCTCTGAGAGCATCTCTTGTATACTGGAGCTCAATTTCCAGGGTATTGAATTTACTTTCAGCTTCAGAAAGTTGCTGAGAAAGCACCTCATTGTTATCTTTTAGGTTAGAACATCAAAGTTCATTTTGTCCTGTAAATGACACCACTCATCTTCTGCTCTCTGGAAAGCAAGTGCTAAGGTTTCTTTCTCATGCCTGACTTTGATCATGATCCTGTCTAGCAATAGCCAGTCTAGCTTGGTATGATTGAAGTTTTGATTCCAGTCTTCCTCTGTTTAGCTTTTCATCCTGCAGTTTAGAGTTCAGTATGGTATTCTCAGTTGTCACAACATTCAGCTGCCCAGTAGATTGGAATAGTGTATTTGTTAATGTTACCTTATTCAGTTTTATGGCGTTTTGAAGACTCCTTTTCTTTTTCAATTTCAGTGTCTTCACAATATTTCTTTTCCTTTTCCTGCTTCTGATTCCTTATTGTGTCTATTTCCAGTCTTAGCATGGCAATTTCATCTTGCAACATGTGGTTTTTATGTAGCAGACCTTTTTCTTTTTCATGAGTAGGAGAAACCTAAGTAAAACAAGAGTCTTTTAGCTGGACCTCAATAAAATGACATTATCATGATTTTCTCTGAAATTAAAGAATAACCTATGTTTATACAAGGAATAGGTTGTAGTTAAGTGGAAAAACATAAAGGTGGATCCAAGCCTCAAACTTTTATACAAGCATAAATTCCCCAAATTTCAAAAATTTAATTGAAGACAATGAATTCACGAAAGAAAAATCATGACAAAATCCTAAGAATCTCAGAATTGGAAAGGTCCTTCTCTGATTTACAACAAACCCAGAAGGCCTGAAATAAAAGACTAATACATCTTACTACACTAAAATTGAGTTTACAGTCTGATATCTAACATAGTCCACAGGAAAATCCTTAGCTCTGCATATATTTGGACAGATTCAATTTCCTAACCTTACTTTTTTCCTGAGAATATTCCATAATATTCTACTTTTCTAACATTTCTATAGTCAGTTATAATAATTCTATCTACTGATAACTAATCTAGACATGGTACTACAAACACTTCTGTACATATTGATCTCTTTTAGTTACCAGCATTCCAGAAAGGAGAGGTTAAAAATACTAAGTGATCTGCAGGACATTCCCCAGGTCTTTGGTACTCCACTACTACTGTCCTGGCATCTAACTCCAGCTACTTCTCTAGTGTGAGTCATAAATACAAAAGAAGCCTTATATTTCAGGAGTGGCTGGGTAGCTCAGTCAGTTAAGCCTCTGCCTTCGGCTGGGGTCATGGTCTCTGAGTCCTGAGATCAAGTCACATGTCAGGCTCCCTGCTCCACAGAAAGCCTGCTTCTCCCTCTCCCTCTGCGTCCGTTCCCCCTGCTTGTGCTCTCCCTGTCAAATGAATCCATAAAATTTCTTACAAAGAAAAACAAAAAGCAGCAGCAGCCTTACATTTCAAAATACCAATGCTAACTCAGGTAAAATTTAGGTAGCTCCTAGAAAAATCATGAGATTATCTGTGGCTGCAACAAATTTTATTTCCTCTTCAGATGTTTAAAATGGCAATAAATGTAAAATAGGGGAAAATACACTGAGCTATTTTATTAAGAACAAAAGACATCAATAAATTATCAGTTAAGTATATATTACAGCATATGATTGTTTCAAAAGCTCCTTGTAATGAAATTGGATACTACTTGGAGCAAATTGTTACTCTTCTCAAAAGTAGGAGAGGAACTTCTGAAGTAAGGTCTCTGAACGGGCTACACTTTTCCTCCCTTTTATCAGTGGAAGTGTGAAACTAACCTCTCTATTAATATAGAGGTGGTCAAGTAATTGCCAAAAACTAAAACATATGTTGTTAGTAGCACGAGTTTTGAGCTTATGGAAAGCTCATAAATTCTATACTACTTTCCAAAATAATAAAAACTTCTCCTTCAGATAAGGACATTATGAATGTCACTATTTGACCCTTGCAGATAAATGCACTTAAATTAACTAATGGGCCAAAAATGCCACTCCCCCCTACATATATAAGAATATATAAGAATATATAAGAATATATATATATATACACATATATATATATATATATATATTCTTTTAAAATCCTCTGTACTTTCCATGATGTACAGTGTTGGTTTTTAAAATATATATACATACATGAAGAAAATGATAATTCCAAAAATGTAATATACATACATACAAATTTATACACACATGTAATTCAAAATAACTAAGGAAAATACCTCAGAATTCATTTTAGTAGGAGACATTTCTATCTCCTTCCATTTGCAAAGTTGATTGTTCAGAATTCCATCTTGTAATATTCTGGCATTTGGTTCTTGAGAAAGTCGCCTCTGAACTTCATTTCGCTCTTCTATAACCTAGAGACAATTTTTCATTAGGATTTTGGATCATATCATTAAAAAAGGTCAGAAGCCTTAAGAGAAGTTAAAAAACTTCAAAAGTACTTTTTTTTTAAATAAGGATTTTCATTCATCCTGCATGAATAACTCAAATTTTCATTTAAATGACAGCTAAATTTGTCGTAGAGTAAAAATACAAGTAGACAGTATTGAGAAAAAAAATTTCTTTATAAAACTTTTAACCTGTTTCATCATCATCTCAAGGCAATCTAGCCTCTATTTTAACATTAAAAAATCCCAAACTGTGGCACCTGGGGGCTCAGTGGGTTAAGCATCCAACTCTTTTTTTGGCTCAGGTCATGATCTCATGATCTCAGGGTTGTGAGATTCAGCCCCAAGTGAGGCTCTGTGCTCAGACCAGAGTCTGCTGGAGATTCCTTTCCCTCCCTCTCACTCTACTCCTTTACCCTGCCCATGCTCTAAAAATATATATAAATTCTTAAAAAAACAAAAAGAAAACCAATATTCACATTTATCTCAATTTTCCTTCTATCCCTTCGTTCAGAAAATATACATAGAACATATATGAGAAGCCAAGAATTCCAAAAAGGTAGTAACTGTAGCTACAAATATCATAGTTCCTCGGATATTCCTATTAGGATAAAATTAAACGTTTAATCTATTTTAAATCTAATGGATTAAACCAAAGGGACATTATAAATAACATGGAAATACACAATTTTTGTCCAAAATTTACCTGCTTCAAATAAGCTTTTACACTCTTCAACTCCAGGTCTAGTGTTCTAAGATTAAGTTCAAGTTGTTTCAACTTCTTTACTATATTACTCTACTTCTTAATTGCTCTCTAACCTTTTCATATATAACATATCAGCACTTTTTCTTTTTTCTTGTTCTTGTTATAAGGTCAATCTGCAAATGCATGTGTTCATTTTAAAATTTATTTTATTAGCAATAAAAAGCTTATTTTATAAT